GTTACTGTAGTCCTCAGCTATACATAAGACATTAGGGACCAACCACCCGATGTTCTGGAAGGTTTGTTACTGTGGTCCTCAGCTATACATAAGACATTAGGGACCAACCACCCGATGTTCTGCAAGGCTTGTTACTGTAGTCCTCAGCTATACATAAGGCATTAGGGACCAACCACCCAATGTTCTGCAAGGTTTGTTACTGTAGTCCTCAGCTATAAATAAGGCATTAGGGACCAACCACCCGATGTTCTGCAAGGTTTGTTACTGTAGTCCTCAGCTATACATAAGACATTAGGGACCAACCACCTGATGTTCTGGAAGGTTTGTTACTGTGGTCCTCAGCTATACATAAGGCATTAGGGACCAACCACCCGATGTTCTGCAAGGTTTGTTACTGTAGTCCTCAGCTATACATAAGACATTAGGGACCAACCACCCGATGTTCTGGAAGGTTTGTTACTGTGGTCCTCAGCTATACATAAGACATTAGGGACCAACCACCCGATGTTCTGCAAGGCTTGTTACTGTAGTCCTCAGCTATACATAAGGCATTAGGGACCAACCACCCAATGTTCTGCAAGGTTTGTTACTGTAGTCCTCAGCTATAAATAAGGCATTAGGGACCAACCACCCGATGTTCTGCAAGGTTTGTTACTGTAGTCCTCAGCTATAAATAAGGCATTAGGGACCAACCACCTGATGTTCTGCAAGGTTTGTTACTGTAGTCCTCAGCTATACATAAGGCATTAGGGACCAACCACCTGATGTTCTGCAAGGTTTGTTACTGTAGTCCTCAGCTATACATAAGGCATTAGGGACCAACCACCTGATGTTCTGCAAGGTTTGTTACTGTAGTCCTCAGCTATACATAAGACATTAGGGACCAACCACCTGATGTTCTGCAAGGTTTGTTACTGTAGTCCTCAGCTATACATAAGACATTAGGGACCAACCACCCGATGTTCTGCAAGGTTTGTTACTGTGGTCCTCAGCTATACATAAGACATTAGGGACCAACCACCCGATGTTCTGCAAGGTTTGTTACTGTGGTCCTCAGCTATACATAAGGCATTAGGGACCAACCACCTGATGTTCTGCAAGGTTTGTTACTGTGGTCCTCAGCTATACATAAGGCATTAGGGACCAACCACCCGATGTTCTGCAAGGTTTGTTACTGTAGTCCTCAGCTATACATAAGACATTAGGGACCAACCACCTGATGTTCTGCAAGGTTTGTTACTGTAGTCCTCAGCTATACATAAGGCATTAGGGACCAACCACCCGATGTTCTGGAAGGTTTGTTACTGTGGTCCTCAGCTATACATAAGACATTAGGGACCAACCACCCGATGTTCTGGAAGGTTTGTTACTGTAGTCCTCAGCTATACATAAGGCATTAGGGACCAACCACCCGATGTTCTGGAAGGTTTGTTACTGTAGTCCTCAGCTATACATAAGGCATTAGGGACCAACCACCCGATGTTCTGCAAGGCTTGTTACTGTAGTCCTCAGCTATACATAAGACATTAGGGACCAACCACCCGATGTTCTGCAAGGCTTGTTACTGTAGTCCTCAGCTATACATAAGACATTAGGGACCAACCACCCGATGTTCTGGAAGGTTTGTTACTGTAGTCCTCAGCTATACATAAGACATTAGGGACCAACCACCTAATGTTCTGCAAGGCTTGTTACTGTAGTCCTCAGCTATACATAAGGCATTAGGGACCAACCACCCGATGTTCTGCAAGGTTTGTTACTGTAGTCCTCAGCTATACATAAGACATTAGGGACCAACCTACCGATGTTCTGCAAGGTTTGTTACTGTAGTCCTCAGCTATACATAAGGCATTAGGGACCAACCACCTGATGTTCTGCAAGGCTTGTTACTGTAGTCCTCAGCTATACATAAGACATTAGGGACCAACCACCTGATGTTCTGCAAGGTTTGTTACTGTAGTCCTCAGCTATACATAAGACATTAGGGACCAACCTACCGATGTTCTGCAAGGTTTGTTACTGTAGTCCTCAGCTATACATAAGGCATTAGGGACCAACCACCCAATGTTCTGCAAGGCTTGTTACTGTAGTCCTCAGCTATACATAAGGCATTAGGGACCAACCACCTAATGTTCTGCAAGGTTTGTTACTGTAGTCCTCAGCTATACATAAGGCATTAGGGACCAACCACCCGATGTTCTGCAAGGTTTGTTACTGTAGTCCTCAGCTATACATAAGACATTAGGGACCAACCACCCGATGTTCTGCAAGGTTTGTTACTGTAGTCCTCAGCTATACATAAGGCATTAGGGACCAACCACCCGATGTTCTGCAAGGCTTGTTACTGTAGTCCTCAGCTATACATAAGGCATTAGGGACCAACCACCCGATGTTCTGCAAGGCTTGTTACTGTAGTCCTCAGCTATACATAAGGCATTAGGGACCAACCACCCGATGTTCTGCAAGGTTTGTTACTGTAGTCCTCAGCTATACATAAGGCATTAGGGACCAACCACCTGATGTTCTGCAAGGTTTGTTACTGTAGTCCTCAGCTATACATAAGGCATTAGGGACCAACCACCTGATGTTCTGCAAGGTTTGTTACTGTAGTCCTCAGCTATACATAAGGCATTAGGGACCAACCACCTGATGTTCTGCAAGGTTTGTTACTGTAGTCCTCAGCTATACATAAGACATTAGGGACCAACCACCCGATGTTCTGCAAGGGTTGTTACTGTAGTCCTCAGCTATACATAAGACATTAGGGACCAACCACCTGATGTTCTGCAAGGTTTGTTACTGTGGTCCTCAGCTATACATAAGACATTAGGGACCAACCACCTGATGTTCTGCAAGGTTTGTTACTGTAGTCCTCAGCTATACATAAGGCATTAGGGACCAACCACCTGATGTTCTGCAAGGTTTGTTACTGTAGTCCTCAGCTATACATAAGGCATTAGGGACCAACCACCCAATGTTCTGCAAGGTTTGTTACTGTGGTCCTCAGCTATACATAAGACATTAGGGACCAACCACCCGATGTTCTGCAAGGCTTGTTACTGTAGTCCTCAGCTATACATAAGGCATTAGGGACCAACCACCTGATGTTCTGCAAGGCTTGTTACTGTAGTCCTCAGCTATACATAAGGCATTAGGGACCAACCACCTGATGTTCTGCAAGGCTTGTTACTGTAGTCCTCAGCTATACATAAGGCATTAGGGACCAACCACCCGATGTTCTGCAAGGTTTGTTACTGTAGTCCTCAGCTATACATAAGACATTAGGGACCAACCACCCGATGTTCTGCAAGGTTTGTTACTGTGGTCCTCAGCTATACATAAGGCATTAGGGACCAACCACCTGATGTTCTGCAAGCTTTGTTACTGTGGTCCTCAGCTATACATAAGACATTAGGGACCAACCACCCAATGTTCTGCAAGGTTTGTTACTGTGGTCCTCAGCTATACATAAGGCATTAGGGACCAACCACCTGATGTTCTGCAAGGCTTGTTACTGTAGTCCTCAGCTATACATAAGACATTAGGGACCAACCACCTGATGTTCTGCAAGGCTTGTTACTGTAGTCCTCAGCTATACATAAGGCATTAGGGACCAACCACCCGATGTTCTGGAAGGTTTGTTACTGTAGTCCTCAGCTATACATAAGACATTAGGGACCAACCACCTGATGTTCTGCAAGGTTTGTTACTGTGGTCCTCAGCTATACATAAGGCATTAGGGACCAACCACCCGATGTTCTGCAAGGTTTGTTACTGTAGTCCTCAGCTATACATAAGACATTAGGGACCAACCACCTGATGTTCTGCAAGGTTTGTTACTGTAGTCCTCAGCTATACATAAGGCATTAGGGACCAACCACCTGATGTTCTGCAAGGTTTGTTACTGTAGTCCTCAGCTATACATAAGGCATTAGGGACCAACCACCTGATGTTCTGCAAGGTTTGTTACTGTAGTCCTCAGCTATACATAAGGCATTAGGGACCAACCACCCAATGTTCTGGAAGGTTTGTTACTGTAGTCCTCAGCTATACATAAGGCATTAGGGACCAACCACCTGATGTTCTGGAAGGTTTGTTACTGTAGTCCTCAGCTATACATAAGGCATTAGGGACCAACCACCTGATGTTCTGGAAGGGGGTTGGGGAGGGTAATTTGTTACAGAAAATATATTTGCTTTATGTTTTACAAAAAGAGAAATTGTTCGCTGCATATCCTGTATGTTCTGAAAACAAAAAATATATTGAGTTGGCTCCTCCTCTGAGAAAAGATTTTTTGAACCTGTCTTAAATAAATCCCAGACTGACAATATGTAAAGACTGTGCATCAACTTGTATCTAAGAAGGAGCAGAAGGGTGTGCATTCTCATGTAGATTGCGAGTATTGCAGTTTCATGAATAATAGAGTTAGAGACAGGCATTCCTGTAATTGATATTAGGATGAACAATCCACGCTATCGAGGTATGATGACATTCAGCCAAGTCACCAAGTCTGACCACATGATCTATTAACTCACCTCTTTGAACCAGCCTAGGTTGCTGGAGACTTATTCTAACCAGTGGTCCAGATTTGATAATTTAGAGGTTGCTGTCTTGCTTGTCGTAAGAGGCGACTAACAGGATTGGATGGTCAGGCTCGCTGACTTGGTTGATTCATGTCATTGTATCCCAATTGCGTAGATCGATGCTCATGATATCCACCACTGGATTTTCTGGCCCAGACTCGATGATTTACAGACCGCCGTCATATAGCTGGAATATTGCTGAGTGCAGCATTAAACAACAAATAAACAAACAAATCTTGGTGTCTCCTTGTGTAATATGACTGGAGTATTGCTATTATGATACTCATGATAAACAGTTTAAGTCCATTTTATGTGTTGATAGGAAGATAGTTTATGTGAATAGTGTTTGTTTCTAATGACGACAAGAGTGACCTGACTCTATGCTCCTATGTGTTAGCATATGGTGTTTGTCCACAGACGAGTGAAGACCAACAGAAGGCACGGGACCTTGGTGCTCTCTATGTCGGAGATGCAGATCTCATCAAGCAGGTGAGACTTAGTCCTACACCGCAGTGATAAAAAACAATGGGAGTCATGGCACTCATAGCAGTGGCGATCTGGGTCCCATCCCACAGAGCTTTCACACAGTTGTAAGGATGTTTAAAACTTTGAGAGCAGCAATCTGGACACTGGATACCATCAACAATGTGATTGTAGCTGTGACTGTTGTAATTCTCCACTGCTGTAGCGCTATGATCACTTTGTTTCTACTCGGGGACTAATGAAGCTGAAACTTCACATATCCTAAGAGGTTCAAATCTGTATTTCAACATGGCTGCAACGGCAACCATATTGAAAAAGCTTTTTATGGCTGAACACTATTATTGTTCAAAATGTAATTTGGTACATGTGTAGTAATTATTTGGGCTCAACATATATGTTCTTTTATTTTGGCAATATTTTAGATTTTGACTTTGATTTTACCTTTGAACATCAACCATTCTGAAAGCTGAAACGTCTTATCACCATGACACAAAATGTTCAAAATATGATGAAATTTGGTGTGTGTGTGGTTTGTAGTTCAACACATGTTTCCGATTTTTGTGTGCAATGTTTTGAATTTTGACCTTGATTTGACATTTCCACTTTTACCAGGCTCCTAAATTCTGTCAATATGCATTTTTGTTGCACTGTAAATATTCTCTGCACAAAACCACTTGACCACTGAAGCTGAAATTTCACATGCTTGTTCTCACCAGTGATGAGACCTGAATTTGTGAGGTTCGAATCATATTTTTAGTATATCTTTTGAAAGCAACTTTTGTTTCCTGTTGACTTCATTTCAAGGTGAACTAAAGTGTCGTGGTACCATTTTTATATTTTCCCAATCCAATTACATTCATGCAATACAAGTTACTTTCACTTCAGTAATATGTCTTGACTTATCAGTGTCTGCTGTTGATCATTCTGAGTTATCTCCCCTTAGATTGTTGATGGGATAATTGACAAAAGTGAGTTTGACTTCGCCCTTGCTACGCCGGACATAATGGTGGAAATGCTGGCCCTACGAGGAATACTGAAGGACATGTTTCCACGCAAAAGCAGAGGTTTGTATCCTACTTTTGATCTTCAGATGAAACAGCTCTGTGGTGTAGTGGAAGAGCTTCCATCCAGATCCTCAGACTCTCAGCATTAAGGGGCTAAAACAAGGACTGGTCGGCTCAGTCAGTATAATGTGTCTGAGTGGGGTTGTCATGCTCTCACTCAGGAAATACCAGATTTAGACACTTGTGTCGTAAACATAGTATGACATGAACACTTATATAATATCCTCTATATATTACCCATAGTCGTGTTGGCAGATATTTGAAGATAAATGTTAACCATCGTATTATTGCCTTGGTTCTCACAATATCTCAGTGTCTTTCCCTATTTCTTGTCCCTGGGTAATATAGGTTGTGTGTTTTCCGTCCACAGGCAACATGAGTTCCAGCGTGGAGGAGATGATGACTCTGTTCCAACAAGGCGTCACCTACACGTCCTCCAAACACTCCGATGCTGTGGGGAAGTTGCAAGTACCCCTGGGAACTGTGAGTAGTTTCTCTGCTCATTCATTGGCCATTGGCCGACATGTTGTTAATGCTATGTAAACTCACCATGTCCTGTTTATGAAGCTGAAAGTGGGAGTGATTGAGTGAATGAGTGAGTGAGTGAGTATGTTTTTACGCCACTTTTAGCAATATTCCAGCAATATCACGTCAGGGGACACCAGACCCATGTGGGGAATCGAACCCAGGTTTTCAGCGTTAAGGAGTATATCCTCTGTATCCCTGTGTGTCATAAAGAGTGACTAGTAGTTGTCCCTGTGGCATTGCAGCCTGATAGGACCGCGTCTGTGGTGTAGTGGATGGAGTGTTTGCCTCGAAGGCAGAAAATCGATACAATCCCTAGCCGTGTCATACCAAAAAATGTTACAAGATGCTACTTGTTGTTACCCTGCCTGGCACTCGGCATTAACAGATAAAACAAGGACCGGTTGGCTTGGAGTCAGTATACTGTGTCTGAGTAGGGTATTCATGGTAATCTATGCCATGGTATCTTAGTGGGCTAGCACTGTAAAGCCGGCATTAGTCCGGACTAGTAAAATCAGCCACGCACACACACGTGCCTGCACATCACTATACAAGTGCAATACTGTTGAACGTTTGTTGTGAAGCCTGGTTCTTACATTTTCGCAATCTCCACTGAAGCAGCAATGCCTGAAGGTCTCTTGAACATGTGGACAGAATTCCCATCCAATTTACAACCACAGCAGCCATTTTTAAAATGTCATTCCTGTCGGCAATCATTGACATTTGTTATGCAGTGTGTGTGCTACATGTATGTCCCAAGAACACATTTTATGTTGGACTGTGTATTTGACACAGCTTCAACCTTTGACCTTCATGTACAGCTGTGCCTGCCTTTGGTTCCATGTCTGTCATATTGAGTGAGTGAATATTGCTTAACGCCGCATCAGCAATTTTGCAGCTATTCGCGGCGATCTGTCATATTGAACATGTAAGACTGTCCCTCTATGTGCAATTTAGTTATCATACTGTAAGAATGGGTGTTATGTGGACACCTAGGTTATTCTTTTGCTTATACTTTTCTTTCCTTTCTTTGTAAGTCCTTTTTCAGAGCCAATATAATATTCCAGAAAAATTCAGCTTCAGACCTTTGCTGCTCTATTTTCTTATCGTTTGCATTCTGAAATGCATTTTGGTTTCTTTTATTACATACAAAAGTTAATCTATCAGTGTAATTGGTACACTGGTGAATAGTGATTTCAGCATGATTTTCAGCTTTTCATTCCCTGGACGGGCACAGGTGGTCAGACTCACGGAATCTGGTTGATGCATGATGACAGTCATGATGTCAATCACTGGATTGTCTGGTCCAGATTTGATTATTAAGAAGTCATATAGCTTGATTATTGATGAATGACGCGTTAAACAACAAACAAAATCTGTTTCTGATCCAATATAATATTCCAGAAAAAATCTTATTCTTTTTTTGTTTCTGAAGGTATATTGGGATTAATTTATTTAATTCAAACGGTGTAGTTGATACTCGGTTGAATGATGGTTTGCTTCATTCCTCGTGTGATGTGTTCCAGCTGAACATGACCACTGAACAGTTGGAGGAGAACTTTTCAGCATATATGGAGTCAATCAAGAAACAGAAGGCACCCAAACTAGGTGAGTTATGTATCTCTTAGCCTCTAGAGTTTCTATATTGAAGTGAGTTGTCTATGAAACCACCCAGAAGAGTAATTCTGTTATCATGGCATGTCGTTGAATGTGAGAGGAGAGCAGACTGTAGACATTTACACTTCTTTCAAATATTTGAAATACTCTAAACAAAATATTTTGGAGTTATGCAAGTGAGAAGTGCATTCATCATGTTTTCAAAGGACAAGGTTTGCTTTCCAAAATATATACAGTAAACTATGTTTATAACAAACATGCTTATAACAAACTTATAGATATAACAAACAGTTGTTTTTTCCCCAGACCATTTGCTATATATATGCTTATAATGAACTACTGTTATTAAACTACAATTAGTGGTCCCTTTGAGTTTGTTATAACCATAGTTCAGATGTAAATGATGTCCCATGTCTTGTTGAAATTATCCAAAAAGCTTTTTAGCAATTAACTGTCCTTACTTTGTATCACTATAGCTTTAATTCATGGGGTCATTTTGAAAAAAAGAAATTTTTTCTTTTTTCTGTAATCTTTCATTCCCAGACCATGACGACAAAATAGTTGAAAATGTTTTACAAAATTTTGCATTGCTATTTGGTAGACAAGTGAGATAACATTGATTGTTGTACTACTGCCTAGATCATGACATGGCATTAAAATCCAAATGATTAGTTAAAATCCTTACTTTTGCTGAAAAAGGTAGAAATGTGTGAATTTTAAATGAAACTGGCACATCAGATATCAGTGTGTGGACAGTAGGCTGAATCCTGTCGATGTATGAGGCAATATTAACATGTTGGAGCGTCATTTCAGGTCAGTTTGTGAGCCAGGCTGTGTTGATAGCCCCGCCATCACCGGAGCGCTTTCATGTGGAGCTGGAGAAGTACATGGCCGACACCAGCAAACAGAAGTCAGCCATGGCTGATGAAGATGAGGAGGAGGAGGAGGAGGAGAGTGAAGCAAGGAACTGAGTATCTAGTCAGTGTGCTTAGTGAACTGGAACAGACTTCTCTTGTATAGGTGTGTGATAGTGTGAGAGAGGCAAGGAGAAACACACGGAGCTGTGAATGGTATTCAATGTATTCCGATTGTTCACCAATGGCAAGGTGAACTGGAAGGACCGTGGTGGTGGACATAAAGACAGGCAACGATGACAGATACAATACACCTCAATCGTATGTTCATATGAGACTACAGCATGTGATATTATAGTCCAGCTGTCATGTACGACCCATAAATCAATAAAACTTGCATCTCCTCGCCCAGTTTCAGTGTTATATCACTGGGCACAAACTTGTTGCCAGAATCTCAGCCAAAATTGGCAGCGGGTATTTGTTACTGTCTACAGCATGTTAACATGTACCTTACCATCAGAAACCTTGAGGAGGAATAACAAGGCTGACTTGGTTCTGCTTCAGTGTATGTAATGTGTCCCAGTGTGTCCCAATATGCTTCACTATTCCAGGACTGTGGGTAGACATGAGAATTCCCTGTGGAATTCCAGGTTGGAATAGATCCCCAACAACCATTGGTTAGTTGGTTGTTTAACGTCGCACTCAGTAATATGCCAGCTATATGACGGCAGTCTGTAAATAATCGAGTCTGGACCAGACAATCAAGCAACCAATGCCGGTCACAAGAGGTGACCAAATTGATTGGTTGGTCAGGCCTGAACCCCCTCTTTGCAAGACAAGGTAAAACCCTGCCTTATAATCATGAAAACAAGTGGCTGATGGAGGGCTGCCCACACAGTTGAAAATCTCTCAATTCTGAAATGTGCATATTCCACCACTCCACCTCAGTCGTGTGCGGACTTGAACACAAGCCAATAATATTGTAAAAAGGAAACACATATTAACACATGTATACAAATATTTATTCAGATGTAAAAATCAAAGATGGCAACTATTACAATGTTTTCACACAGGATTCAGGAGATGGCTACAAACATCCGCATAATGAAACCCACTGCAAGGTGAACTATACTGTCAGTTTTGTGCATCAAATATATAGTTTGTTTTCAGGAACAAAAACTAAAAATATAGTGATGGATTTACTATATTAAAGCTAATTTTGAGGTCACGATTGTCGCATCTTATGGAATCTCTTGGAATGAATATTTTGTATTTAATCCAGAAGATTAAATTGAGGTCTGTGTCTTCCCTGCAGAATGTTGAGGGGTTGTCATTCATATAGACACTCAAATAACTGTTACCATGGTTACAGTGACAGCAATGGTAAGTTAGATGTTACAGATTAGTATATATGTTTTACTTACCAATCAGAAGAAGTTAAAGAACAACGATTTTTTTTCATATGTCATACTAGGGGTGAAACAATGCGACGATACCATACACGATACGTTCTTCCCTGTATTGATACAAAAAGATACATTTGCTAAAATAACCTACCCAATACACTTTTAATGACTCCCAGCATTTTTGTCAGTCAAATATCGCAAATTGTATTGCCTTTCAAGTTCACTCAAAAACATATTTGAACCGGCTCTGAAATATTTATTAACAAGAGGTTTCCACGTGATAAGATGTATGGATGCGTATCGCGATACATATCGTATCGTGACCTTGCTGTATCATGAACCCAGTCATACCATGACAGATTAACAATAGTTAAATGAAAAACAGAAGGCTTCATCTTGTTTTGAGTAGAAGACATCAATCAGTTGGCAGTTCTAACTTCTATATCCAATATATATGTTCATCAAATAAATAATAAACAGATTATGGCAGATATTTCCTTTATGTTTACATTCTAATTTCTCAAACATATGCAACAGAAGGTTTCAAGATCACAGGGGTGTGGACTGCACAAGTAAGAAGCACTCAAAAACATGAGATTCCTCTACCATTATTGGGTGAGAGAAGAGTATTCCTTTTCATGTCAGTATAAATTCACAGGAATAAATTCTTAGCACTTGTATTACTATCCAAACATAACATTGAATAAATATATCTAACAATATAACGGTAACTGACAGACTATCATAACTAGGAAAATAGGATAAAAGCAGAAGAATCTAATGTAATTATTTTTGGTCACAATAAGTACATGGATACAATGATATCATGGTGATCTTCATCATCAAACATACAGACCATCTATCATGTCAGCAAGTAATAAAATATAATTGTAAGTAAACTATACGACTCTGAAATCAGTGGACTGATGTCAATAATGACACATTTGTGCTGATGAAGATGCTACGTCTAGAAAGGAAGATCAGGAGGGGCTGCACACCAGGGCTATAACTATTCACCTTCAGCATCAGGGCTGTGCCATACGTCTTGCAAGATGAACACATGTATCTTAATCATCAAAACAAACTGATACTGGTACTTGTTTATGAAAGGTGTTTCCATGGTAATGCCACTTACTGAGACTATACTCAAGAATGTCAAGCGTTTATAATGTCATAGTTATCAATTTACTTAAATATTTTGTAAACATCTCTGGTCTGCCAATGTTGGAGAATTACAACTCACTAACCTAACCTGGTGTTTTTGTGTTAGTATCAGTTGGCACGTGTGTCTGATGAATCTTATTGCAGCAACGTGAAGTGTTACAGCCCGGTTTCATATCATAATGATAATATCCAAGGAGTATTTCAATATCAACTTCCGCGTGAACATCATACAGCACAGACAGCCTCCACCCTCATGCTCAATTACAACCCAAAGTACTACAAATCATAGTAAAACTACCGGAATACCTGGTAACTAAACGAGTTTATATTACTTCCAATAATATAGATACCACAAACTGCCTTCAAAAACATCTTTTCTCATCAGTGGCACTAGTTGGATGCTGTCTCAGGGGTTAAAAAATACATTAGTCATGAATTAACAGCTAATGTAAATATCCAACATAACAGATACTGATATTCAGTTGCTTTCATAACCATGTCACTAAAGTACACACGGAAATGGAAAAAAACTGTTTTTTCGATCTCAGATTTTAAATAAATGCAGTTAATATACAAAATATATAAATATTCAAACAACTCAATTAGTACTAATTGGGCCATGGCACAAATACAGCATATCAAAGGTTTTTAAGTCTTTTTACACGTAAAAGTGCGTAAAAATATGAACAAAACAGACTATTGTGAAACTGAGCATAACCAGGTTAGTAGATCAAGGTGAATGTCCATGACATATGACACCTTGACGACAGGTGAAAACAGGTGCTTGAAACCCACGTGCATGTGATTTGTCAGTGGTTATTGATTTGTGAGTGGCATTGTGGGAGAGTGAATCATCGTCAAAATATCAGAACGTAAAAGTAACATATTCCCTTCTCAAACAACTTACATGTCATTATTATTATGTACATAAACATAGCTGTTATTTTTATTGTTGTTTTGATAACTTTTTTTCAGGCTAATTTGCATAATGCCTAAAGCATGTTTCTGCCATGTCAATTTGGACTTAGTTGTATTTTTGAATGTTGAAAGTGCCTACAAATTACCTCCTGTAAAGTACATTTTGTAATGAGCACTGAGATAAAACTAGCAAATCCAGACTAGTTCTTTTCCAGTTGTTTTGTTATTTCGTATTTACATCTACGTAATGCTTTGTGTCGATTACTAAATCCAGCTAAACAGGTTTTTTTCTTTTCCATGAGTACTTTAATGTGTTGAGACTTGTATAAACTATTTCAGCATAATGGTTGTCATGGCTCATGGTTTATGGCCAAACACATTTTTTAACCCCTGTCTGTATGAACGTTCACTTAATATTACACAAGTGGCAAGACAGCCAACAGCACTATATGATGCCCCCCCTTCCCATGTATAAGCAACAGTATTGATGTGGAGAGTTTAACCTAACCAGCACTACATGTATTCATATGGTGTTACCCAACACAACACTTCCTACACATCTCCTCCCTCCCAGTGCAGGCAGGAGATGGCCAAGGTGATGCAGCTGACAAGGCACGTGCAGGTTATGTGAAGGTGAGACCAGCCTCCTGGTACACACCGAAGATCTTCTCTATAGACGTGATGAAGGCTGCAGTTCTCATGTCCAAACCCAGGTTGTACTTCATTGCAGTCTTCATGATGTTCTGCAATTTGGTACCATATGAGTCAATAATCATTTCAGATAATAATAATAACAATAATAATATTAATATTAATAATAAAAATAATGATAATTAAAGCTGCAAGCAGCAATGGCGGGCTCCAAGTAACACTGTGCCCAAACGTCCATGTTCGAATCCTCAAAGGGTTTCCTTGAACCAAATCCGTCAAATGAAGGCACCACTTGCAGGGTATCGTCGCTAGGAAATTGGCGTGTGCCAGGGGGTCCAGGTCTGTTCTAAAACCATTTCCGACCTCGAACATGTTCGAATCCATAAAAGGTTTGCTTGTGCCAACTCTGTCAAAAGTCAAAAGTCACCGGAAATCGCAGCTACGAAATTGGCGTGTTCCAGGGGTGTCCCAAATATAAATCAAATATTACCACCAAGCGGTGTTACTTTTAGCATACAACCAATAACAATAAATGAGATGCATATGGCACACTAACTTCATGTAAACTTGCAATAGTTTCTGTGGAGAACCTTACAAGATATGATCTTTAAAGCAAAATTTCGTTGAAAAAAATTATCAAAATCAAAATCCAATATGGCCGCAACTAAAAAAGAATTCCAAAATCGGCTATTAAAGTTTGATGTGTTGTGTATGGAGACAATTATCAGAAAGTTTGAAAGCATTTCATGCAGTGGATTCAAAGTTGTTTGCATTTGAAGACAGGTACCCCCAAAACACTATGAAAACCTTGAATCCAATATGGCTGCCAAACCATGTGACCAATGACCAAAGTCAAAGAACAAAACATGTCAAGCAGCTCAAGCAGCAGATACATGCAAGGTTTCAAAGTAATCGGATAAGCGGTTGCGGAGCAATAGGGCGAAATACATCTTCAAAATATTCTGTTCTTTTAGTTATCTGCCCTTGGCTTTTAGATCTACGGTTTTTGGCGGGCACTAGTACCCGACGGTCCACATACACACACAAAATGTGAACAAAATCGAGCCAGTGGTTTTTTTTCTAGCTCTGGTACAAAAATCAGCGGAATAATAATAATATTAAATCAATCGCTAACACTGGGACTCTTCAGCCTTTCGGCTTGGTTACTCTTTAACAGGCCGTAACTTTTTGTCAGTTGGGCTCCAGACAAACGGATTAGCGTTCTGCGTTCGTCGGGGCCCCAGGTTCCTGTCGCATTGCTGAAATAAAGTGCTAAACCTGTTTCCCACCTCGTTCATATATTCGAATCCTCAAAGGGTTTGCCTGTACCAACGCCGTCAAATGTTAAGAACCTCTTGTGAGACATCCCCACTACTAAATTGACCTGGGTGTCCAAGGATGTTTTGACCAATTTCCAACTTCGACAATGTTCGAATCCTCAAATGGTTTGTTTGTACCAACGCCATCAAATGTAATGAACCGCTTGTGAGACATCACCACATGTGTCCCAGTGTGTTCTTAACCCATGTTTGACTTCGACGATGTTCGAATCCCCAAATGGTTTGGTTGTACCAACGTCGTCAAATGTAATGAACCGCTTGTGAGACATCACCACATGTGTCCCAGTGTGTTCTTAACCCATGTTTGACTTCGACGATGTTCGAATCCCCAAATGGTTTGGTTGTACCAACGCCATCAAATGTAATGAACCGCTTGTGAGACATCACCACATGTGTCCCAGTGTGTTCTTAACCCATGTTTGACTTCGACCATGTTTGAATCCCCAAATGGTTTGGTTGTACCAACGTCGTCAAATGTAATGAACCGCTTGTGAGACATCACCACATGTGTCCCAGTGTGTTCTTAACCCATGTTTGACTTCGACGATGTTCGAATCCCCAAATGGTTTGGTTGTACCAACGCCATCAAATGTAATGAACCGCTTGTGAGACATCACCACACGTGTCCCAGTGTGTTCTTAACCCATGTTTGACTTCGACCATGTTCGAATCCGCATATAGTTTGCTTGTACCAACTCCGTCAAAAGATAGTCACCGTTTGCAGGACATTACCGCTACCAAATTTGCGTGTGACACAGTTTCCCAGAGTCTACTAAACCAATTTCCGACCTCGACCATATTCTAATCCGCAAATGGTTTGCTTTAAACAACTCCGTCAAAAATAAGGTACCGTAGCAATTGGCAATTGAGAAATGAATCAAGCCAGCGAGTCTGACCACCCAATCTGATTAGTCGCCTGCTGTGACAAGCAAAGTTGCCTCTTGAGACAAGCATCGGTTGAAAAAGGCCAATTCTAATCCTGGTCGTCAAGGGTTGTACACATAATACAGAACAAGACTGTGGAGAACGCTTGGATATCTGTAAAGCCAGTGAATTGGGGTGTATGGTAGATTTATGAGACGCTTCCTTCAGTATTTGTACTCAAGTCTGATTTTTTTACATAAATCAAATCATACCACACCAAGCAGTGGTGCTTTCAGTATGCAACCCAGGACAAAATGAGCTGCATATAGTCTCAAAGCTTCATGCAAACTTTCAATAGTTTCTGTTAAGAACCTTACAAGTTATGATCTTAAAAGTAAAATTTCGGTGAAATAAATGATCCAAATCCAAATCCAATATGGCCGCAACTACAAAAGATATAAAAAAACGGCTATGCTAATTTGTTGTGTTCTGTATGGAGACAATTCTCAGAAAGTTTGAAATCATTTCATGCAGTGGATTCAGAGGAGATAGTATTTGAAGACAGGCGCCCAAAAAACCCTGTCAAAACCTTGAATCCAATATGGCTGCCAAACCACGTGACCAATGACCAAAGTCAAAGAACAAAAATTATCAAGCAACTGAAGCAGTAGATATATGCAAGGTTTGAAAGTAAACAGACAAGCGGTTGTGGAGCAGCAGGGCAAAATATATCGTAAAAAAATACTTGTTTTTCAGTTATCTGCCCTTGGCCTTTGGTCCTACGGCCTTGGGTTTTTGGCGGGCACTAGTACCCAACGGTCTACAAACCCACACAAAATTTGAACAAAATCGAGTCAGTGGTTATTTTGCTAGGGCAGGTACAAAAATCGGCGGAATAATAAATAATAATAAATAATAATAATAATAATAAATCGAACGATTACAATAGGGCTCTACAGCCTTTCGGCTTGGAGCCCTAATAAATAATAAATCGAACGATTACAATAGGGCTCTACAGCCTTTCGGCTTGGAGCCCTAATAAATCGAACGATTACAATAGGGCTCTACAGCCTTTCGGCTTGGAGCCCTAATAAATCGAAAGATATCAACAGGACAACAGGATTACAATAATAAACTGGACAATCCCAATCTACACAGGAAATTTGGTCGAAATCGGACCAGTAGTTTCCGAGTTACAAGTGTTCAAAGGTCTGCCATTCAGAGGTCTGCTGTACGGCAGCTTGTGGCAGGGTGACAGGCAGGGTGGGTGGGTGGCAGGGTGACAGGCCGACAGGCCGGGTGGCACTTTGTGACAGGGGGTCAAATAGTCCGGGAGAAGAATGAGCGTGGCTCCTTTGTCCATTGAGCTACAGGCAAACGGATCAGCGTTCCGAGCTCGCCAGCAGCCCGGCTTTCTGTCGCACTGCTCGGATAAAGTGCCGAACCCGAACCTGTTTCCGACCTCGTCCGTGTTCGAATCCCCAGATGGTTTGGTTGTACCGACGCCGTCAAAAGCAAGGAAACGCTTGCGAGACATCGCCGCTACGAAACTGACGTGTCCCGGAACGTCCCGTGATGTTCTACGCCCATTTCAGACGTCGGTCATGTTCGAATCCGCATAAGGTTTGCCTGTACCAACGCGGTCAAACGTAAGGAACCGTTTGCGAGACATTACCGCATGTGTCCCAGTGAGTTCTTAACCCATTTCCGACCTCGAATCCTCATGTTCGAATCCTGAAAGGGTTTTGCTTGTCCCAACTCATGCAAAAGATGGTCACTGTTTGCAGGACATCACCGCTACAAACTTGGCGTGTGCCTGAGTCAACCAGAATGTTCTAAACCCATTTACCACCCAGACAATGTTCGAATCCCGATAATCGCCTCTTAAGACAAGCATGGGTTGCTGAAGACCAATTCTAACCCTCATCTTCAAGGGCAGCATACATACTGCAAAAGACACTTGACGGTCAAAGGGAAATAACCCTAGGTTTTCTGAGCGATGTATTCGGTATTTTGTCCATATTACCACCAAGCGGTGTTACTTTTAGCATGCAGCCAAGAACAAAAGATGAGCTACATGTGTCCGACTAACTTCATGTAAACTTTCAATAGTTTCTGTGGAGAACCTTACAAGATGTGATCCTTATATAAAGGAAAAATTCGGTGAAAGAAATCACCAAAATCAAAATCAAACAGAGCCGTCACTAAGACAGATATCCAAAAACGGCTAACAGAGTTTGGTGTGTTATGTGTGGAGACAATTCTCAGAAAGTTTGAAAGCATTTCATGCAGTGGATTCAGAGGAGATAGTATTTGAAGACAGGTACCCAAAAAACCCTGTGAAAACCTTCAATCCAATATGGCAGCAACTAAAAAAGATATCCAAAATCGGCTAACAGAGTTTGATGTGATATGTACGGAGACAGTACTCAGAAAGTTTGGATGCATTTCATGCATTGGATTCAGAGGAGATAGGATTTGAAGACAGGTACCCCCAAAACCCTGTAAAAACTTTGAATCCAATATGGCTGCCAAACCACGTGACCAATGACCCAGATCAAAGAACAGAAAATGGTAAGCACCCGAAGCAGCAGACATGTGTAAAGTTTGAAAGTAATCGGACGAGCGGTTGCGGAGCAATAAGGCGAAATATATCTTCAAAAAATACTTGTTTTTCAGTTATCTGCCCTTGGCCATAGGGCCTACGGCCTTGGAATTTTTGTGGTATCTGGTACCTAACAACCTGCACACACACAAAAAAATTGAACAAAATCGAGTCAGTGGTTAAACTGCTATCTCTGGAACAAAAAACGGCGGAATAATAAATAATAATAATAATAATAAATAATAAATCGAACGATTACAATAGGGCTCTACAGCCTTTCGGCTTGGAGCCCTAATAATAACATGTGCATTTATAATGCGCCAGATTCCATTCACCAAGTGGATGCTCATGGCGCTACACCATTATTACCCCGGTCAATGGAGCAGTGAGCACTCGATTTTTCATTCTCAGCTCCCTGGGATGTATACAACCCAAACTGCCTGTGAGTAGCTAGAAGGTCGCCACATTAAAATTTCATCCTACCAGGTACCCACTCACTGCTGGGGGAACAGAGGCACATTTTGAACAAAGTCACTTGCCTAAGGAGACACCACATGAGGTACATGTGCTTCAGTGTGGGGCAGGACCGAAGCCCTAGAAACTCTCAGGAGTCAAGCTGTTTAACGTGGTCACCCATTCAACTACTCTCCGAGACCGAAGTTGCTTAACTTCACCTGATTTGTGATCTGTGCACAGGACCACGTGCTGCGTTATCATTGCAAAGAAAGTATTTCATTAATATGTATGTTACAACTTCTTGTTCTTAAATTAAAATTTAATGGGCTTGATCATGGAATAAAGTGGAAAGGAGGCAGGTTCTCTGGTGTCAACACATGTCTCTACCCATAGGTGGCAGTAACCCGAGCCCAGTCAAGTCTACACAAGGTGCCCATGTTGGGTGTGGTAGTTGTGTCGTACACAGCACCTACTGGTGCTACACAAGTACTCACCCTTGCAGATCTCTCCATGGTGTAGTCCAGTCCTGAGTGTACAATGTCCTTCTCGGAAGCACCCTGTTGTGGATATTGAAAAGTAAGTCTTTAGTTGGCATTCCGTAGTTGGACAAGCATAAAAAATAAACGTTAATAGTTAATCAGCATACATCTGATGAAGGCGCAAGAGGTAGCCATGAAATGTCATCAATACAAGTTTTATGTCTTCATCTTGAAATAAGATTAATTTTAGCAATTGTAGTTGAAACTTGTTTCACACTGTTAATCACAGAACAATTATGACACATAAAAATACTTTCCTTATGTGACATTTGCTATATTAATATTACACCATTTTGACCTCAGTTGGGAGTTCCCAGTCCTTCAAGACTTCTACTTACAGCAATGCGAGCTTCAAACTCTTCACTTGGCAGAATGGGAATGCTGCCTTGGCCTACATTCTTTCCAAACTTGCGTTCAAGAGATTTCTGAACACTCTCTGGAGAAAAAGAATCATTCATTCTAAGAAATGCCTTTGGATTCTGACTGATAGCATATGCCAGTCCAACAAAAGGGGGAATTTATACTACTTACTCTGTATAAAGAGCATTTGAGTAGATAATTGGAAAATTCTCTTCACAAATTCTCAACTTCATTTAATTACCGTATTCGACCCAATAAGCGCTAATGTCCCAATAAGTGCCTCCCTTTTCCCGGATGCCCAAGTAAGATTTACTCACGCCAATTTGACTCTGAATTGGGTCCAATAAGCGCCCACCCCTTCTGTCGTTATTTTAAGCGCCCTGGGTGCTTATTGGTTCGAATACGGTATATACACAAAAATTAGGCAATAATTTGTCCTTAGATAAGTCCTGGTCTCACTGTCCCATAAGAATAGCAACCAAAAGTCAACAAATTCAAAAGAGAAATCTGAATTTTTTAAAATATGTTTGCCCACAATACCAACCAGAGGACTTTTACCAAAAATATCCATCTACAAACAATAAAAAAGTATGGCCTTAGCTGGACTAACAATAGGCATGACTAACATAGCTTGGTTAAACTACTTACCAAGAAGATAATAGTTGGATTCCCTTTCATACTTGAAAGTGAGTCTGCCATAACTGACATGGTTGAGGTTCTTCAGCCACTCGAAGTACGACACCGTCACACCACCAGCGTTAATGTACAAGTCCTGAACAAACCCACAAACCAGGTTCCATTATATGAAGAACATGCCTCTGAGGTGAGGTGAAATGGGGTTTAACGTCACGTTCAAGATTATTGCACTTATATAGCGACGTGCATGCACTTGTGTTTGGCTGCTTGTACTAGTCTGGACTAATGAGGATTTTATAGTGCTAGACCACTGACATAGCATGCCACGGTTTAACATTAACGCCCCACTCAGCCACAGTATACTGACTCGAGCCGACCAGTCCTTGTTTTAGTGCCTCAATGCAAAGTGCCAGGCAGGGAAACAACAAGTACCATCTTTTAACATCTTGGTACGACGCAGCCTGGGATCGAGCCCCAAACGGATCTCCGGTTGGACACTCTACCTTGGAGGCGGTCACATGCTTATGATTAAGGTTACATTTAATTCCATATCTACATGATCAGTTAAACTGGTTTCAAAGAAATAATATGTGAAATGAAGTTCAGGAGATGAAATCAGCTCAAATGTCTTTGCATTATGTTGTTATGGTTGTAATCAGGGTTGTATTTGTATGAAATTCCAATGTTTACATCGATTCTTTGTTACTGTCCAATTTCTGCAATCCATACAATTCAAATATCAACTAAGCTTTACAATAAACTCACAGGGATCACAAGTATATTTCTCTCCAAGAACACCTTGTCAGCTCCCATCGTTGTCGGTCCATTGGCTCCCTCAGCTACAATCTGCACAGGACAGGATATGCCGATACAGTCTTTTCTTTCACAATCTAAATGTGTTGCTCACAAACACATTGTACAGTGTAGTAATTACCACACTCTTTACTTTAAAATGTCTAAAACTCAGTTCTTTGAAAAAGGTCTCACTTTAACATTGTGAAGGAATATGCCTCAACTAAAATACTACCATGTCTCAATGTATCAAAGGATAAAATATCTAAGAACTGACTTCCACGTAACTTGTGTTTATGGAGCCATCAACATGAAATCTGGTGTGCATGTTGTGTAAATATGCATAGCGGACATGCGAAGTCAATTCATATAGATAAATTAGTCAACAATAATAACTTCACAGATACATGTATAGTAAAATGTAATTATTTTTCACATTTGTAAACTTATCCTGCATTACTCCTTATTGCATTTACTGCTTACCTTTGACAAAGAGACAGTGCCTAGTGATTGTCCTTAATGAAGAAAACATTTTTTTTTTCACTTTCTGTCTACTTTTGTAAGGACCCATCACAGCTGTCATGAGACGGTCTGTCATGACATCACATCTGGTCATATTACTGCTTGTGACCCGCGCTATAGTGGGGAGGCAGGTATGCGATGGTAATGTAATGCAGGATAAGTTTACAAATATAAAAAATATCTTGGATTTTACTAAATGTTTTACTTATCCTACATTACTCCTTATGCATCTGTATCAGACCGTAGAGTTGTGAGGCATACCTTCAGATATATATCCTCAATATATATAAGCCCTTGATGCGCCAAACATGTCAAGCGCCGATCAGTTTTGCTTGTTCAATCTCATCCATCAGAGAGAAACGAGAAAAGAGGATACCGGTAAGTCCCGGTAAACAACAGTAAGAAGAAAATAGCCGACCAAGGCTTAAAGGGTGTGTCAAAACACTGCGCAGGTCATGTAAGACTGGCTCCGAACAGGAAGAGTTCATTATTTGCGTCAGGGGCTGGTCACCTACTAGGCTACTACCAGAGTAATGGAACTTGCTAACCTGTGCCATGGTCACCTTCTTGGTGAGGTAGAAAAGGGATGAAGCGTTCGGAGATCTACGCAATCCTTTAAAGTACCACATTCAAATCCCAAGTGAGGGGACGGAATTTGGCCTTCTGATCCTCAAGTCTGAAGGAGCATTAAAGGGCCTGTAGTTCTGGAACTTTGATCATTTGTGATTGTGACACTGAATGAAGCGCTACCAAGTATGTAGTAATGGTGCTGTCTTTCAAGTGTCGTTTGGTACGCAAGTGTAGGAGGTACTCGGCTAAATAATGAGGTGATGCTGTTGTGGGATCTTGATGGGATCTGGATTTTTGTTTTACAAAAGGTTTCAAACGATCACCATAACCCCAAGGTATATAGCAATGGCCTTAGTTGCCTGTGCCAAATAGCCTTTAGCTCTTTAAAGACAAGCCAAGCGTGTCAATGATATCTGCCTGGCGTTGGGAGAGGTAGTTTGCTTTGAGGGTGGATGAGTATGTTTGGCCACTCTGGTAGTGGATTGTCCTCTGCGAGGCTTCTGAGGTCTACATACCACCCCTCACTGGCCCCCAGGGTGCGACCAAAATCAGAGTGATGCTCTTGGTTGCTTTTATTTTGTAATCGCCCTGGGAAGTAGTACAAGAGGCAGAAAAGCGTATGCTTTTAACCAGGGGTCCGGAAAATTTAAAATCCCAATCGGACATTTACATTTAGGCCACGCCCCCTTCAAATAGCGTATTTTAGTACAACTTTTCACACACATTACAAGTTTACGTATTCATAATATGATGAATTATGAATTGTTTCAATTTAAATTGTTTAATTCACCGGACAATTAATAACAAATAATATTATTTTAGATTTACATGGAAAACATCCGTTTGTTTCTGTTATAATAACGATCTGTTAACGTAGTGAACGGTCTAATTAATATTCATGAGTTATATTCATGAGTCTGCTCAAGTGTACGCGTTGTAACATTTGGATCGAGACTATTATCCCATATTTGGTTATCACGTGACCTCATGGGAAAAGTTTTTTTTTAAACTAAAGATTTTTTTAAAAACAAGACAGATAATTTAATCACAAATACTAAAATATCGTTGATAGCAATAGTTATTTGAATACTTTTTTCATCTGTACTTAATTATTGACCATAAAAAAATTGGATATCGATCGTCCGAGAAAGCAAAATGGCGGTCAATCAAGATTCAATATACGACTAGCTACTGAAAACAATAAAATCTGCAAGTCCTCATTGCATGTCAACCAAGTGAAAGTCGTTAGCCACGACTTACAAAATGATCGTCCAGACTTTGAGGGTTTGGCAGATCCGGTCGACTGGCTGTCTTACTTACTTACTTACTTACTTTGGAGATTTAACGTGCGCTTTCCGACTGATGCGTATTTCGCACACGGGCCCGGCCAGGCCATTTAATGTGTTTCCGAAGGGGCGAAGGTGGTCTGTGCAACCCAAGAGGGGGGTTTTAGGGGTTGCTTATATAGAATTTGGGAATTTTGAGATTTGGAATAGATGCCGATGGGATTGGGGAGGAGAACTAAGGGAGCTGGGTATGGTGGATGTTTGTTTGTTTATGTGATTTTGATTTGGTGAGTTATTGTGTTTTTAGATGCGTTTTATTAGTTCCGTTTTGATTAAGAATACGCCTAAGGCCTTGAAGTTTTCTAGTTTATTTTGTGGGTTTAGTATTGCTTCTAGAGTTAGAGCCTTGTTTAGATTGAGGGTGGTTTGTAATGCGGTTCGATGTGTTAGGTAGTGTGTGCAGTGGATGAGTGCGTGTTCTGGGGTTTCTGGTTGTTTGCAGTGCGGGCAGTTACCTGTAGTGTGTTTTTTAAATTTTTTTAGGTGGTTATTTAGGTTGGTGTGTCCTGTTTGGAGTTTAGTGATTACTCTGTCGATTTTTTTGGATGGATGGAGAATTTTTGGTTTGGTTAGTGGTTTGCTGAGCACTTTTTTGATTTGGCTATTTGAGTTTAGATATAGGTTATGCCATTTTTTGGTGATTTTTTGCTTGTTTACACTTTTAATTTCTGATTTTGAGATGGGTAAGTTTAAGCTTATTTCTGGGATTTTGAGGGATAGTTTAGCTGCTTTATCTGCGTTTTCATTACCGTATATTCCTACGTGGGCGGGTATCCACAAGAAGGTTATTTGTTTGCCTGCCTTAGTTAGGTCGTTGGAGCTTTTAAGTATTTGATTTATTAATTTAGGTCCGTTTTTGGTATTTTTGTTTTGGAGGGCTTGCAGTCCACTTAGGGAGTCGGTAAGTATTAGGATTTTTTTGTGGTTTTTGGATTCTTGATTATGGAGGGCTGAGGCCATGCCCATTAGTTCTGCCGTGAATATTGATTGGTTGTTTGGGAGTCGGAAGGATTGTGTGGTTTTAGTTGGTTGTGTGGTATGGACTCCGAAACCTGTGTGTTTGGAGGTCGGATCTGAGGATCCGTCCGTGTAAATGTGACACCAATTTGGCCAATTTTCGTGTATGTATGCTAGTGTGGTAGTTTTAGCTATGTTTGGGTCGGTTTGTTTATTTATTTGGCTAGCTAGTGTTGTGTCTATTTTGGGTATTTTAAGTTTAGGGGTGAAGATATTTGATTGTTTGCAGTTTTGTTTAAGATTTTTAATTTGGTGTTCATTTAGGTAGTTTGTTATTCTTTGGGATATTGGGGTAAGTAAGGGGTGTTTACGAGCTAGAGCTTGGTTTTTGGGGCTGATGTTTTGGTTTATTAAGTTTTGGATGAGAGGGTTTGATTGGGACGCGGCCCAGAAATTTAAGCTTAGCTGTTCCCTGCGTAGACTTAGTGGCATTTCTCCTGTTAAGGCCTGAAGTGAGGTGTAGGAGGTGCCATGTTGGGTGCGTGTAATTAGTTTGAGAGCCTGATATTGTATTGAGTCAAGTTTTTTAGATAGAGAGTTGTTTAGGGTGTTGTATATGGCGCAGCCGTAGTCTAGTTTTGATCTAATTAGTGATATGTAGAGAGAGAGGAGGGTATCTTTGGATGCTCCCCAGTTAGAACCAGTTAGGCATCTTAGGGTGTTTAGGTCTTTACTGCATTTAGTTGTTAGGTTTTGGATGTGAGCATCCCAGGTGAGATGTTCATCGAAAATAAGTCCTAAGAATTTGGTTTGTTTTTGAAATTTGATTGTTTGATTGTTTAGCTGGAGGATTGGGGAGGCGGGTTTCATGTTTTTATGTTTGAATACTATTCCTGTTGTTTTTTCTGAGTTAAGGGAGAAGCCCCATTTGTCAGCCCACTGTTGTATTTTATTAAGAGATTTTTGGAGTAAATTTTGGACCATGTTCATGCTTTTAGTGCGGATCCAGATGGCTCCATCATCCGCGAATTTTGATGTGTTTACTTTAGGGGATAGGCCCTCGAATAGATCGTTTATCATTATATTGAAGAGGGTGGGGCTGAGGATACTGCCCTGTGGAGTACCATTTTCTAGGGGACATTGGTCCGATAGAGTTTGGTCTATACCCACGGTTATTTTACGATTGTTTAGGAAGTCCTGGATGTAGTTTATTATCTGACCTTTGAGACCTATTTTTTTAAGTTTTTGTATTAGCCCATCGTGCCATACCATGTCGAAAGCTTTAGAGAAGTCTAAGAAGATGCCTGTGGTATATTGTTTATTTAGCTGTCCTGTCTTAATATCTTGTTCTAGTCGGGTGAGGTTATCTAGGGTTGAGCGGCCAGGAGTGAAACCGCTTTGATCTGGGTTTATGATGTTATTTTGGGTTAAGTAATGTTGTAATCTATTTTTAGCCATTGATTCCATTACTTTACATAAGTTTGAAGTTAGGGATATTGGTCTATATGAGTTAGCTTGATTAGCTGGTTTATTAGGTTTAGGGATTGGTATGACTAGGGCCTGTTTCCAGGGAGTAGGAACCTGTCCGTTTAGGTAGATGAGATTGTATAGTTTGAGTAGTGCCTGGAGTAGTTTTAGGGGGAGTTTTTTAATTATTTG